TAGGATGAGTAAGAGATGAGTAAGGCATAGACCTGTCTAGACCGTTCTGGAGTAGTACGGATTGTCCTAGACAGTACCAGAAGAGTCCGGAAGCATAGCTATAGTACACGAGCAGAGAGTCCCAAATATGGTAACATACTACATAAGCGACTACAGCTAAGCGCTAGGAGACGCATAGCCTCGTGTAGTCCGGACCGGATAAGTCCAAGTTCAACAGTACACACCGTTCCCAGAAGGAAGTTGATGGCAGCAGTGCGTGCCGGAGGATCGGGCCCGAGGCAGTCAATCTCTTTTTGGGATATGATCTGACGGTACGACTTAGTAGTACAAACAACGGAGATGGAATCAACACACCTTGTCTAGCGCAGCCAATGCAGCCTGGTTGAATTTGCGCTCGAGAGGATTGGGCTGGCGGGACATGGTGGGAAGCAGCAACAAGGGCCTACCGTGCCAGTACTAGGGCCGTGACTGAGGAACCGGCGCCTATCCGGACCGTTTTGAGCCGATGGTGTGGCGGTGTAGAACCAACGCCTGCTGTCCTCGACGACGCCGAGATGGCCATCAGCAAAAATGTCGAAGCACTGTAATGCTGGTTGTAATGGCAATATAAGGAAAGGCTACATAGCCTTTTATTATAACGCTAATCTTGGCAAGATGGACGGTGTAATGGCATTAGATATGAGAGCTAAAATCCTGTGATCATCATATTATATCGAGCCGTCATTATATTCAATAAGCTTGCACTGGAACACATGGGCACGCTCGGCCAGGGATTATCATGCGAGCCAGGAGTTCCCATGCCAATCCCATTGTATGGATGGACAGGGACGGTGTTGACAATGGAGGTCCGTTGCCAGCACACGCTCTGACCATTGGGCACAATATCACACATGAAAAGATATGATAGAAATATTCATTGAGGGCAAATACGGTACGACAGCAGCGCGAGCGCAGAACGGCCATGAGGGGAGAGAGCATAAAGGTCAGGCACAGAGGACAGAAGCACAGCGCGCGATAGAGGAACGTCGGCAAACGCTAAATCCGAGGCCATAACAGTTGCTAGAAGGGAGACACCAAAGTGGATGTCAGCTCAGTGACGGCTGGGGAAGTGGAGGATGATAGGCCCTAGGAGTGTAGTTGTTCTGACTAGGCGGAAGCGAGGGCGACTCAGACGAAGAAGACGCAGGGCTGTCCACCTGAGGAATCCTTGACGTAGATGCCAATGCCGATATTGTATGGAATACTGCAACGCTTGACAGGTGAGTGGCCGGATGACCAAAGACGAGAGATGGCGCTCATCTTAGTGCAGCGCGTATTACACCTTTCCACACGTATGCAGGGTATCAGTATAGTCGTCCTTGCCGAGCAGTGAGAAGTAAACGCACACCTGTCGTATGGCCTGGCTCAATGCACAAGATTGTTGCCTCGTCAAAGCCAGACCTGAAAGAAGATGGGCTGAACGACCGCACGTTGACCGAAAACACGTCCGCGGACGGGCCTGGTATCGACGTCTAAGGAGAGAGCACCGGTAGGGAACCTGCAGACGGCGAAGGAGAGCGGTTCGTCGAGCAAGAAGAAGCAGCCTGGGCCGATGTTGTGGGGTGACCTTGTTCAAGTACCGTACGGTGCGTCAGCCCCAGTGAGAATCGACATGGGTTCAGCTGGTTTACGTCGATTAGCACCGTATCTAGTCAGCAACCCCGACCGTATACTTAATTCTACCGTTTTCCCTACTTTGCTCGTATTCAGTCGGAAAAGGTCGTGTGGCCGCACGACACTATACAAGTGTCGTTTGGATGTGCTTGTGCATCCTCGGGAGCGGCTGGTCGCACTCGGGTCTAGTCGGGTATGGATGGTTGCCGTCAATACACATCGTTCGATACAATCTGATTCAAATTGTATAATATTGTATGTGGTCGTGGGGCTACACAGCGGGATACAGGTACAATCAGGTACTATGGCAGTTGTTCCGCCCGCGTCGAATCCCCACACACGCGCAAGGCCAACGCTTGTGACGTACTACTGGCAGGGAGCCACTACCGGTAATTACAATACTCTAAGGTGGTGTGGTCAGTAGCGTTTGGCAATGGGACTCAATAACGGTGCTCGCGACGTACTGTCTACGACAGAGGAATCCGTCCAAAGTTTCTGTGCCCATATATTGATTAGCCAAGCACAAGGCAAGAGTTAGGCGACCTACCCTGCAATCTGGGGCACACAGACCGACAACAGCAAGTGACCTCGGTCCCTAATCCAGTCAGCGAGAAAATTGATGTGTACTTTAACCCCTTGAGGTCTGGGGGGGAGGCCACTGTGCCGCCTTGCAGCAAGGGGCGCGCTTTTTTTGACAGCATTGTCTTCGTGAGTTTGTTGGGAGACTGTGTCAAAGGGCAGTACCTGCGGAGGCAACATCTTGGGGTGAGCATGCCATAGGGGCCATCGCGTCATCTGCAGGGACATGGGGATCTATAGGTGTCGGCTGCAAACCTGATACTGATTGATTCGAGGTTGAGAGGCATGGGATGGAGCGTCAAAGTCTGAAAGCCCTGAATAGAGGGAGACAGTTTGCACACGAGGGGATAGAGATGGTAGACGTAGTGGTGAAAGGGGCAGAATGTTCATCGAGCGAATCCGAACGTCGGCGCCTGAAGTGCATGACATCATATCCTGACACTCCTCTTCACTGAGAAAGGAGCGACCAAAATGACGGAAAAGGGGGGAAAGTCAGTGGAGGAAATGTGAATGGATGTTGGTAAGCGTACCAAACAACGAGTCCTCGTGTCCAACACCTCCTTGCGTCCGACTGCTCCTCACCCTTCCCCTAATGCCTAACTCCTTGAGTCCGGGGACGAATGGGGAATGTGGGATGATTGGGGGTGGTGAGCACGACAACATTAGCGGGGGGGACAGTTGAGCGGAGATGTGGTGTGGAGGATGGTAGAAGTTGCGGGCTTGGGAGTAGGAGCAAAGAGCTGCACGCACAGAGACTTGGGATGGCTGGCGCAAAGGGAACGCACTGGTTCATTGACATAAAGTCATGTATTAACCAGCTAGAGACATGTTAAGGACAAGTCAGACACAAGTCGACGTCACCAGTGTCAGGACATGCACGTCCGATCCGGTTACCGTAAGGTCAGTTAGAGACATCGTTTGAGCGCCTAAAACTGTCCGCCCAACATGAACCGAGACCTCCCGACCTCAACCGCTTTGACACGACTTTCGCCAACGTAATCCAGCTGAACCCATGTCAATTCTCACTGGGCGTCAGCGGTGACAGTATTGGCCCAGTCAATCTTTGGGCATGTCGATGATGGGAGAGGAGAGGAGGGGGGCGATGACTGATCTGGGCACGTGCGCGGGCTTTTGAGAAGAAAAGACAAGGTGATTGACAGGTCATGACTTATGACCTCATGCATGCCAAACGTCCCCCCGTATTGAGACTGGCCACGATCTGCAGCTGTAACCCTAACCCAAGGCTATTCTGCTCACGAGCGTCGGACACCGATTGTGCGGTGGACTTGCGAGTGACCTTGGACTTGGTCGATATCGTCAACCGTACGGACGCGGTACAAGCTGTTGGACGGTCAATGAAGACGCACACGTCTTCCGTGTCCTCCCCACACTACTTGGCGTTAGTTCAGAACGCGCTGTCTTTTA